GCCTGCGAATAATTGCATAAATTTTGTAGTTTGTAAAATTTTTTTTTTACTTAATTAAGTAGACTAAAAATTTTATCTGATATGTAATAATAGTCAAGTAATATAATATTATATTTATTTTGCCAATCCTAATTATATTTAATAAATTTTTAGTATAAAAATCAAAATTTAAAAAATTCGCAGGCAAATTTGCCTGCTCTACAGTTTAAGGGATAATGTGATCTTTTTACAACCCGGGGATATATAGAATTTTTAATTATTCTAACAAATTACGCCACAACACGTGACATCGAGTAAAATAAAATTTATTTCACCTTAAATATTCTAAAAGGAATGGAAACCGCCAACTAAAAATGTTTTTGATGATAATTAGATACGAACACCTTTAATTCATATTTAACAAAGTAAAATTTGTTTTTTTCTGACAATTTTATCCCTTCTATTGCAAAGCTCTCAGATTTTATGGACATTGCACATATATAATTCAATCATTTAAATAATTTAACTTGTTGCCTAAGAGCCTTTAAAAATAATAAAAATATTTAAATATCAGCATCCATGGTCGGACCGGTCCAAATAGACCGTTTTCTTTGACAGAAGTCAGTCTTAAAACTGAACTTGAATTGGTCTGGATAAATCAAAAGTTTAGTTTTGTTTGATTTCTTATATTATCACCGCATATTATAGTTTTGAGATAAAACTCATTTTAGCAAAGAGTATGGCAAAAATAGATTCATTATAATTTCGGTGGATCATCAAAACCTAAGGGTTATGCCGCAACCTTAATCGCAATTAGGTCTCATAAGAATTTTATATAATGATTCGTTTGTAATTACCAGCAGCTATTATTTTTACTGTGCGGCCTGTGTGCGCCCGCACAGATTTAAATAATTTGCGCATACTATTTTTGGAAAGGTTTTACACATAATTATTATGTCGTACAATTTCCGCATAAAGTTTAGGAAATTGTGCTATTTGCGTAGAAATATACAGAAAAAATATTTATAAATTCGGTCATCCACACCACCACTTTTCATTCGGGGAACTTGGAATTTTCGTTATGTAATCATATTTTGTCACATATTTATTGGTGCTAGGTTACCGAATAATAAATCCGGCAACCATTTACATATCTGGGGTTATTAACAAACATCGCAAATATTATTTATTTATTTATTTATGTAATTATGGAAAACAGCGCGAACTTAATTTGACATAGTTTTAAACAAAATTCACGATCTTATGAACTGAAAGAATTTTTTTTTTTTTATACACTTTTTACCACAAAATAACATGAAATTTAGTTTTTCTGCTTCACACAATATTCAGACTGCAACGATTTGTCAATATCAATACAATTCAACTAATAATGAGAGTATTTCCTAACCACCAAAACCTGTATTCTTTTACTAACGAAAAATAAATTTACCTTGTCTATCGAATATTCAATACTTTCAATACTCCATGTACAACATCTTTGAGATCATATTTATAAAGAAGCTTGTGAAACTATTTCACATGGCAGATTATTTAATTATATATTTATTTAGAAGTATATATTAAAAAAATATTTTCTTTAAAAAGCAAATGGTTTGTAATCAAATACAAAGTTACATGTACGAGCTAGCCAATCTGAAAAATATAATGCTAGAATAATTTTCATTATTACCCCACACTTAACATCATTTTTTTACTTCCACCTTGCTCAAAATGTGAAAATACCGATTGAATCTGTCGATGGATATTCTTGAGCAAGCGAATTAAATTTCTAATTGGGTGAATTCGAAAACTATAATAAATATGTAAATCTGGACAATTATTTTTTTGTTTTAGATTTAGATTTAGTCACGTGTTTGATGGGTTTGTCGATCATTTCCAAAGCTTTTGAGTACAAGATTCAGCCAAAATAAACTATCGATGTGCTGCAAGATGTGGGATGATTTTTGCATGAAAATGGGCGTTTTTTTTCATAAAAATTTTACACCTTCCCCCCATTATTTTTCAGTTATAATAATGTGGTCAGTCATTTAAAAATTGTCAGGTCAAGGGTAATTAATATCTTGCGAAAATAAATAGAGGGAGGGTTAAAGATTAAATTAAATCAATCCCTCGTTCAAGTTTTTTTTTTTTTTATTTTATTTTAATTTATATTTATTTACGTACGTTATGTTTGTCATTGGCGTTGATACGCTACATGTTCACGCATTGACCCTTATTAGCGATCTTCATACAAACAAAAAAAATAAATAAAAAATAACATTGTTCCATTGTCTCGGATTCATGACAGTTATGTACGTTACGTGAACTTTTTTTCAATAATTGTTACAAATTTTTTTTTTTCTGTTATATAATCATCAAAACAATTCTTGCTAAGCGCATTATTTATATACGTAATTAAATTAAAGGATTTAAAAAGGAAATAATGAACAAAGATAGCGATGGGCTTAAGATCAGTTCAGCACAAATGATATTACAATAAATTGTAAAAAGCTATAAAAGGAGAATTCACGAGTAGTAAATTCAAACTTTCATATTTCCAAAACCTCGAATTAATTAAAATAATCATAAAAATACGTCGAAAGTCCTATAAATTGACGTGTCAAGATGGGCTGATATTGCCAAAATCTTTATTTCAAAACCGGTGTGTTAATAGTAAATTATGGACCCAATTTTATCGATGTGGCCGTATGACAAAATTTATTTGCAAGAAAAGTCATAATATCAAGATATTTTATGCAAAAATTTGCCGAATTTGGAAATAGAATTGATTTCATTTTGGTAGTTTCATTTACCAATTGGCTATATCCATATAAAAATGTTTCTGCTGTAACCTCATGGAATGATTTGATTTAAAACATTTAAGTTATCACGTTCCCTTCCAGACCACCCTCATTCCAGAAGAAGCATACCCCCAAAGGATGGTTTTAAAACAATAAACAACTTAATGTGAGCGAGGGCAATCCTTATTCACCCCTAAGTTCTTATTCTCTTCTTACCGACCCGTTATATAGCAAAACTTTAACCATAAGAGAAAGATTTTATTTAAACAAAAATTTTAATGAAATAATCATAATGATAAGTGGTTCCCATTTTCATCCCAAGTTTTGCATCAGAATTGATTTGTTTTCACCCTTCTTTTAAGAATTAAATAGGTACGAATGTAGTCCATGTGATTAGTTTTTGGAACGTTCGAATTCTATTGGCATCAAATTTTTCTATTTAATTTAAATTCTGCCAATTCTTGATAAAATATCTTGATATTATAGCTTTTCTTGCAAGCAAATCTTGACGTTAGTATAAATCAATAAAAGTGTGTCCTAATCACCCTCATTTAGCATCTTCGGCACAATGTAATTAATTTATAAAATTTTTAAAATAGTTAATATAATAATTCTTAATGATAAATTGGGAGATTCGTTTTATGTGATTGCTTTGTTTAAAATCTATTTTGAATATTTTTATCACCTAGGAATTTTTTAAATTTTTTTTTTTTTTAAGCTCTTCTCAATATTTATTTATACTTGTGCTATCGACGATTCAACTTAAATTACTTATAGATTTCCCACTAAAAATATTTGAATACATAAACAAAATTTTTTTTTAAAGTATGGCGATTTTGATCTTTTTTTCTGTGGTGTGATGTAGTGTAACGGAACTTTCTAAAGTTCTAAAATTATTATTTAATTTTCATATAATGGAACACACCTTTTCTTAATATTTAAAAAAAATTCAAATTTTTGTGTGTGTGTTTTTGTATTCAGTTCTTTCGTTTATGTATTTATAAATAATTTGTAATGTAAGCAGAAGGTTTTATTGTGTAAATGTTGTGTATAAATGAAGTAATATAATATCAAATTAATCAGTGTTGCCTCAACGTCAGCGCTCGACACTTTCGCAATGTCAATATATTAAACTAAATAAATGCCAAACAATAATAAACTCTAATTAATTAAAACTGCGCAATTACAAAAAATTGAATAATAAAAATAATAAGAAAATCGGAAATTAAAGAATAACGAAGTTACAAATACGAAATTTAAAATGTTAATAAGACGAAAGCGAAAATATCGAGAGGGGGTTAAAGGAAGGATTTTGAAGTGTATGTATGCAAAATATAATAAGGGTGAGCGTGGAATGTTAAGTTGTTTAAGGATTTCCGGCTTGCATTTATAAAAAAAAATAATTATTAGGCCAGCCTGGCATCTGACATTGTGTCATACTGGCAACCTTGACGATTTACATGCGAAATTATGGAGTTTCCGGGTGAAATTATATGGCGATCTCGATAAATTTGCTTAACATTATCAAAGTAGAAAATTCAATTTTTTAATTATAACTGAAGATTTTGCGAATATTTGGATAAATCCATCATATGTAATGAACTTTACTTCTTTAATTGTAAAAAGGTTGATAATTAAAGATTTTCAAAATTTGGAGCTGAACATCCATCTTCAAAACAGATAAGGAATGCATAAATCATTTATTGATATGTTCGGTTACATAAAATAACAATAAAAAAATTTTGGGTTGTCTCTACTGTTACTATATATAAAGGAAAAAATATGAATAAACCGTGAATTGCTCATTTTTTGAAAGAAAGTTATTTTTTTAATACAATCCTCCATAATAAAGGAAATATATTCTGAAAATAAAAGCAAGTTTAAAATATAAAGATTAAACCAATTAATTGTTATTATCTTGCTGAGAAGTAGGAGATGGATTATTATCGTTTACATTTGGTTGAATTGACTTGTATTATTCATGTCATTATCAATAAGGTTTTCACTCCCAACATTTTATATTAGCGCCAAATAATCAATAAGGGATCGTCAAGTAAATTTCAACGGGTTTGTTGTTGTCAATTCGATTCCAAAAACATTCAAGTTTAAATGCTGAACTATAGCCGAATATGGAACCATTTCACAAGCTATGTGATAGATTCTTTGATCATTAGGATATTGAAAATAAAATACGAAAACATTATTCAAATTAAGATAATTATAAGACGAGTAAAAGTGATTGCTTAACAATTCTTTTGTTAGTTCTTCAAAAGTTACTTTTTTTACAATAAACAAGATAAAGGCAAGAGTACTCTCACTGGAAGCTGAAGCGTCTTGTATAGCATTAATATTTGATGAACCGTTGCCACCTTGAGTATCAAGTGAAGTAGACATTATGAATAGTTTTTGTTGCTATTATCTTATTCTGCTGCGCTAGAATTTTTTTTAAATAAAAAATTGATTCTGATTCAGTTGTTTTTTAATTTTGTTTTAAACTCAATGCTGCGAATACTTCGTTTAAAATTAATGGATCGTCGATCTATTTCTCTCCTACTGGTTTTTATAGTTGATTTAATATGGGTTGAATGGTTTAATCTTTTTTTTAATAATGTCTATTTGGTATTTATCATTTATTCGAAGATTTATTATTATTTTTTTTTTTTGAAGCTATCTTTCGCATTATTTATATTTATGTATTTTAAAATCCTTTTACAATTTGTGCCCATACCCACTTAGGTCACTTTATTTATCACGCCGCGTCACGCCACTGTTAACTAAGTATTCTGACTTCGACTCGCATAAACCAATTTATGCTTGTAAACAGTGGAATGAATAATTTCTTCTTAATTCGTAAAATTAAGGTACCACATATACTTTTTCCTATAATAAGTGATCCCTGGAATTTGTTACACTATAAAATCTTGCGGAGGGCTGTCGCAGTTACCGTTTCCGTTTTTTGGGCGGGTGGTTTGGTATATCCAGATTTTTGATTTCTGTTCCAATGAATTATGTTAATGATGTCTTAACGACTTAACTTCGCACAGTTAAAATGTGTGACGGGTTATACCGATTATATTGTTTAACGAGGTAAAGCCAACAAAGCGTCCATCAGTCGTTAAACGATGAAAAATATATATATTTATATTAGAAGTGAACAAAGAAATATTTATATATATAAAATTTTTCGTCTCGATTCAAGTTACGAATATCGAGAAAAAGGTGGGTGAAGAAATATAATTTTACCCCTTGATGTGTCTCGATTAAAAACTGAATATCGAGAGAAAGGTCGGTGAAGAAAAAATATAAATATATTTATTTATAATTTTACGCTCGCTTAAAAACGCAATCGAGAAAAAGGTGGTTTTTATAAATAATTTCTCTGTCGATCATCCGATCATTTCCAAACAAAATATTTGTCCCGCATAAAACCTAGCTAATTACTCTTTATATTAGAGGCAGGAAGATCACCGACCAACATAAATTAACTTTTGTTTCTCTGAAATTTGTTTATATTTGGTTATTTAATATAAAAGTTCGGTATCATTTACTGCGGATATCATAAATTTTAGTATCGATTCAAGTAAACTATGTAGTTTATTTATTTTAAAACCCAAATAAAATTTCTGAATATTTTTTTTTTTTGAATTAAAATTAAAAACAAATGCGTTTTTTTTTAAAAAAAATAAAAAAAATAAATAAATAAAAAAATAAAGTATTTTCTAAATAGTGGTATCCTTAATCTTTTTTTTTTTTTTTTTTGCTTAAATAAGTTATATATATATTATTATTTTTTTATTTTTTAATTACTTTTTATATTATTTATATTTATTATAACACATTTTAATGATATTACAGGTTCTAAAATTTTTTACTTAGATTTTAATTTTTTTTTTATTTTTTTTTTATTTTTTTTTTTTACACGACATAAGTATTAAATTCTATTAATATTATTCCTCTCATTAGTTTTCCATTCAAATTTAAACAGAAGTTTTACTTTATAATAAAATTTATAAAAAAAAAAAATAAATATTAAATAGTAACTTTTTGTATTCATCTAATAAAAGTATTTTTATTCAAGTAAGAATTAAAATTACATATATTACTATATTTAAAATATTTAAATATAAAAAAAATTTATAAATGAAAATTTGTATATGTTTAACGTTGATTGACTCAATTTGGCTAAAAAGATCAGATCATTAGCATTGCGCTACCCAATATCTATATTTAACTATTTTGTATCGCATGTACGCACCAATTTTTATATAGAAACACAAATCCTCGAAATATATGAAATGGTCCCTTTTCCCAGCACTCACCCACCCCAAATTGTTTTAAAATAAAATAAAACAAAATTATTTTAGAAAATTATTTTCTTTTTGTGACGTAACTTGTTAAAAGTACAAAAGCAAAAATGCTTAATTGGATATTTAATATATAACAAACCTATCGCTAGATATTAAATTTGCTAAGAAAGTTTTAAAATAATTATCATTCATATTTTATTTTTATATAAAAAAAAAAATTTTTTTAATAATTCCTAATTTAAAACTTTTTTTTCGTGTTTTTCGCACATTTTGTTGTAAGTATCATTTCGAATAAAAGCTGATAGTTAAATAATTAATTAGTCGAAAAACCTACCTGCTGACTACAAATTTTCAACTCTAAATAGAACGATTTCATACATAAAACTTCTTAACCTCAGCAAATCGGAAAAATAATATTCGTAATCTATCTTCATGAACGATACTATTGAAATGATGCCTTTATATTTAGATGTAATTGCCTATGGATATCAATAAGTGACAAATTTTGATGAGTACGCAAAAAAAAAAAAATAAATAAAATAAATGAATAAAGGAAATTGTGCAAAGATAAAATAAATTTTGTAAGTATTGAGAAAAAAAGATTTTTATGATTGTAATAAACATGTCCATAGGGATGTAACCATGGTCAATAAATAAGGACCTTTATTCAAAAAAGGAACAACTTGTTTAGTATAAAAATGGTTGTTCAAGACGAGACTAATGTTAACTAATAAAAGACAAAGCTTTGCAGTAGCGATTTCTACCTACTGTATATATGCATTAATTTGAGTAAAAAAAAAAAAAATTTAAACCTGATAAAAAAGTAAAGCACAAGTTTAAGTAATAATTTTCAAAAATAAATCGTATTATATGAACATGCTTTTATACTCTAAATAAATTGGTTTTAAACGAGCAAAAAATTAGGCATGCCGGAAGTCGATCAAAGAATTATTTATTCGCCAAGTTTTCGATTGTGAACAAGTTTATTCAAATGAACAACGTTCCATTGAAAAATTCATTTATCAATAGATCATTTGAACTTTGTATAGAAAGATTTGCGATTCGATTCAAAGTGTCTTGGTTATTGAAAGGAACATTTCTAATTTGTTGCTCCCTACGTTGAACTTGCGTTCTTCTTTGATTATTTCTTGAAAATCGTGTTCCAAGTACTCTGCCGTTATTAATTATAGGATTATGAACGTTAGATAATCTGTTTTGACTTGAATGCTTCATTTTTTTTATTTTATTTTATATTTTAATTTTTTTTTTTTTTTTGTCTTTATGAACTTAAAGTCGATTTTATATAGAACCAAGATATGATATGATATGATACAATAACAAAACAACCGGACAGGACATCCGTCCCGTTAAATCAGCGTTAGATCATAAAATAATAATGAAAGAGTTCCCTAGAAATTTGGGCACCAAATAAAATATTCTGAGAGGTTCGTTTGAAAAAAAATTAATTATATTATTTTTTTTACATAAGCTTATGACTTGTCGATGTTCGATTTATGATTTCATTGTTGGATATTTGGAAATTTACCTGATTTAGGTTTAAAAAAAATAATAATTGTTTTATTGGACACTCCTTTCTATTAAAGGAAGGGAAGATTTGTTCTATCGCCATTTATGTAACTAACGCTAACCTTTTTTTTTATTGTTATACATTTCTATCCATTCAACCCAATTATAGTAATTATTTGTTCTAGACCTCAATTCCTTACTTCGAGATTATCTGTGCAATAATCATTACGTTTTCATAACGAATTTATTTCTATGTAACATGTCGCTGTTTCCAGAGAAATAAACTAATCCAAATACGAATTTTACTTTTCCAGACATGAATGAATTAATAATCCATTAAATTCCATATTTATGGAAATTTTAATCATTTTGCGATATCTCACTAGTGTAACCTTAACCTTATTAAGTAAAAGTGCTGAAATACGCCAAAGAATCCTTAGATTATCATATTTTGTAACATGAATGACGTATGGTTAATATACGGGTTCACTGACAATCGATTCAAGGACAATAAAAAACTTACAAATTTTTCGCCGACTAATGAATTTATTTGATAGATAATCCTGAATTGTCATAATGTATGTGATCCAATTTGTCGCGAATTGTCGGGGAGAGACCTGGAATGAGTAGATTAATAATATATTTGTAACTAAAAAGTTTTTATAGTTTTTAAATCCGAGACCAAATGTTAATAAAACCTGATATTAATAATTTGTAATGTGAATAGTAATTTACCCAATTTAATTAAATAAATTATAGCCGAGAGTCAAAATTATCTATTAAAGTTAAAAAGGCGCGAGATTAACTGAACTGACATCATACGGTAAGAAAGCGACATTTTATATTGATGAGCGAATTAATGTATTTATTATCAATTAAATATTTGTTCAAAATCATATAGATCGTTTTAATTTTCCACATGGTAACGAAAAGATATGGTATATTCCCACGTTGAAGTTTGATTCTTTATCACGATAATTTTAAACATCAGAATGATTTGTCGGCGCCAACTAAATACTCACAAGGACACGTAGTATTCTAATAAATTAATTTTTAAGAATTACTCAATTTATGAACCTTTTAACATATAAATATGCAGTGAAACAATTTTCGTGTGTAACCGAAAAATTGATTTCGTCGAAAGGACAGTTTGTAATTTCGATCAATCTTTTGTTTATTTATTATTACATATTATTACTTACTTATCTTATTATTAACATTATTTCTACATTTTAGCCGTAACAAGGACTTGGATTACAATTTCATATTAAAGAAATTGCACACAATAATATTAAATTTTATATTTTCAGTACAGAAAGTATCGAGATTACGCTTTACATGAAGATCATGGGTAGAATGAGCGAAAAGAGTTCCAATATTTCAAACTTTGTATTACTTATAATTTAATAATCAGACCCGATTATAGATTAGTTCGAATTGTATGGATAATATTGATGCCGAAATTATTAGAATATGGGTCTTTTTTTTATAAAATTTATGAAATCAATAACTTATAAATCTCATGTAGTACAAAATTAAATTGCAACAACAAATTTGCCGATGATTCATAAAGGCGCATTCGAAATTTCTCTGGCAAAGGATTGATTATCTCGTTAACGTATGTCCTTAAGTACTAGTTCAAGTTTGTGATAGATTTTATTTTCTTCTTTTTTTTTTCTTTTATACAACATATATATATTTATTAAAAAAAAGATAAAAAATTAAACTCAATCAAAAAAGACAATCTATCTCATTCGAGACGTAATGCGATCAATATTCATTGTAAAGTTTCGAGATATAATGAAATCATGTAATTTAACATTCACATTCACATAAATGAAATAATTTGAAGTTTAGAATAAGATATTTATTTAATACACTACAAGTCTTTTTATACATAATCCAAATATAAACTTCACTATTCTATTTAAGGTATTTAATGACAAGGATATAAATATATATATATATATGCTTTGCGCAGAATTGGAGGAATTACAAACATAGTTTTGTTTGAGTTAAAGTAATGCAGTATGAACAATGATTAATTCTGTGTTAATGATATGAATGTTTAAAAATGCATGATAGAATAAAATAGAATTTAATGTTGGTTTAAATGAACGAGGATCCATTGTAAAATTGACTTATTAAAGGGTTATCTATTTCTTGGCGATTTGGAATGTTTTTAATGTTATTAATGAATGCGTTTTGAGATTCTATTTGTTGTCGATTCGATCTTCCTACATTATTAGATCGGTTAATTAATATTCTTTGGTTTGTCATGTTAATTTATTTTATTTTTTTTTCTTTTTTTTTAAATAATGGAAATTTAAATTTAAATATAAATTAAAGAAATAGGGATCACTTTTTTTTTTTTTTTTTAATTCTTTAAAAAAAATAAGAGAAACAATTTTCTACAGTCAAGAAATCAACGTATTTATATTATTTTTCAAAAATCAAAAATCTAAATCTAAAATAAAAATGGAAATTTAAATTTAAATTTAAAGAAATGGTAATAGTAACATTCAATTTTTTTTTTGTGCAGATTTTGAAAGATACGATTAACTTAATTAAAATAGAATTCAAAAAAGACTTTCAATACATACAAACTTTCATTTAAAAAAGCAAATAATCGATTGGTGGTATAAATAAAGTTAGTTATGTACAGTACAGTACATTCATATTAAAAAATCATGGGAAAAGATTTTATACTCCACACAATGTGATCCCTACGACGTGATGACGGAAACAGCGAAACTACAATGACAACGATGATCGATGTCACATTGATAATTGCAATATGCGTGCGAAATTGACTTTTAGCATAATATATAGTTATTATTTCCTTAATCGAGACTTTTAACATTAAATTTAAGTGATATTCTTTTCTTTAATACCAACGGAGTTGTTAACGACCTAAAACTTTCGCCCTTATTTAATATAACATTTATTAGTAATTAAATAATCGAATTGAATTGCTAACAACTTTAACAGCAAAATATCCTTGAAATAATAATCGAGTCAGAGATGTTCATTTTGAAATATAATATATATATCATAGAGTTCAAATTATTTATAACAAGGAAATGTTTTTTTTTAGGCCGCGGCTAATCGTTATACCATTATTTAGATTCCTTTGTGTTGTGATTTCAGTCTTAAAATAATGTACTTGTCCAAATGACGAATAGACGATTTAATTTCTTTTTCTTTTTCTCTATAATAATCTAGATTTGAATTCCTTGTGTCACAATGAGATCTACGTAAATCTCTTTCATTAAATTACCAAAAAAAGTACTCTTGCAATGCGCGTTTTGCCTTGTTGATTTTTTTTTAAAATATAAAAAAAGAAATTTCTAAAGCTTCAATGTTTATGTGCGCAGATTTATACTTTTTCTTTTGTTTGAAAATCAATTATTTATGTAAGTTTAAGCGAATAATAGTAGAATGTTTTAGTAATTTATAAATTTTGCTTTTTTACAAACTAGATGTATATCCAAATAAGTGACACCACCATCCTGAATATCCTATGAAAAATAATCATAAAGTTTCGTACAATTTTGTACGGGAGCATACTAAATCCTACGGGAAATAATTTAAGAATTGAAATATACAGATAATTCTGTAGAAATATTCAACGTACAAAAATCATACAGAACCCATGTAGTTTGTTTTTGGATAGATTAACGTTAAATTAATTGATAAAAAACTATCATTCAAAACCTTTCCTATCGTTTAAAGTCAACTTCAAAACAGACCAAATTACCTAATTATAGTAAGAAATTTAATGTTTGAACCGTACACTACAGTCATCTTGAAATAGCGAAGATGCCGTTCTGGACACCAAATTCGTTATAATATTACAAATAAGAATTTAAAGAATTTGATTGCTCGGTATAACAAGGGATATTTGAGTTACAAATTTTAAATCTAGAGTTCGTTATATCGAGAGTTGATTGGTATATGAATTTGTAAAAAAAAAAAAAAAAAAAAAAAAAAAAAAAAAAATACGAATAAACAGGTTTTAGGGATATTTCGGTTTCTATGCCTTTTTAACGTTTTTTTTTTTTGTTTTTATATAACATTTAATACATTTAATACAAAATTAAAATTAGTATTATTTATTATTTATTTATTTTATTGTAATATAACCATAATGAAAATTAAATGTGAATATCAATGGTGATCAGTGCTTCTGAAAGCAATAATAATGAGTATAAGATAATTTATTATATTTTATTCCAAGTTAAGAATGTTCAATGCAATGCAGATGTCATTGTATAGTGTGTATGATAACGCCATGTGAAGGTACGCAGTACTCTGGTAAAATCTCCATAAATCTATTAATATACACCAGTGAAATTCATTCAAGTTATTTTTACACATTCTCTAAAAATTTAAGCTTCTTTCACAAAAGTATTACAATGTCTTATATTACTACAAATGTAGAAATACATAAAGATAAATCATACATTTTAGATAATTCATTGTTAACTCTTTTTTTTTAATTTGGATAAAAAACGACGACAAGGACCATCAGAATTTAATGTGAAATCACGTGAAATCTTACTAAATCAGATTTTTCAATGAACATTTATCGATCTAATCGTAACCAAAATTTATTTCTAGGTATCTTTGTTCTTAAAAAATGCCGCAAAATAGAAAAGGAAGTAGAAAAAAGCAGTAAAAGGATTAGTTTATCATTTATAGAGAAAAAGGAACTATGAATGAAAAAAGGAAGGATAATTCATTTATATAATCAAGAAGATCTTGCCAAAAAAGTTCACACAGAATTTTAGTATACTTATTGATAGATTAAAGCGTATAAAACTTTTTTTTTTCGTGCTTTCGTAGTTTTCACTTGTTTTTCACTTGTGTAATTACATATAAAATTTTTAACAAACAAATACAAAATGCAAGACTATATTATACTATTCAACATATACTGTATACAATATAATAACGATATAGAGAATTCATTAAACGTTCGGGTTGCAGAATGGTATTTAGCAAATACATCCTTTATTAAAAGACAGACGTTTAAAATGTAAAGTAGACTGTACAGTGGAGTGAATAAAGCTGGTACAATATACTAAATGCCCGCGATTAACAAAGTACCAGTTATATAATATTAAAGGTTTATAAATATAAATTTGTTTTAATATAAACAAACAGAATCTATATTTATTGAAATAATTTATGATAAATTATTAAAGAATTACGAACATAAAAAAATTATATATATCAAGAAATATACACGGCGTTTCAACTAGAAACCACCTGTAACCCAACGACTCTTATTCCAAGTTACACAGCGTCTACCATTGATCTGTCATGACCTGTTATCAGGGATGACCCCCTTGCAGACGAGTTACACTTTAATCTATGCATATTTAGGTTTCACAGAAGAATAGAATGCAAGAAATTATCAAATCAAATGATTATAATGTTGACGAAACAGTTGAATACAGTACAAAATTTACAATCGTTATTTAAAATTTTACCTTTTTTGAGCTGGCTCATCCAGTTTCGATCTTTAAAATTATTTGTAATTCAGGCAAAATAAGAAAATGCTGAATTTATAATCGGTTCCAGAACCGACGCTCTTTTTTGAACCCTAATCCGAATCTAACGAGCATAGTGAAATTTCCTAAAATCATGTGATATCACTATAATTTTTTTATTGTAAAATATTACTCTACTCAAATTAAATGTTTTAGGCAGGTTAGGGGATGTCCAACCCCTTGGCATAAAGCCTTGACTATGATCAACTTTTAAATTGGTTAACATAATATATATAAAATTGGATGGCTCTTTTTTCTCTAAGCTTGGCCAGATAAAATTTTACGCACGAAACCACCTTTTTGTCGTTTTATTGACCTTTGGTATCAGTATGATTAGGTTGCTTTCATAAGCAATATTTAAAGACACTTTATTACTTGCCGAATAAGCCTATACTGTAAAAGTTATGAAGTTTAGTAAACAAATATAAAAATTATTGTTAAAATATAAATCAGATAATCAAAAATAAATAAATAAGTTAAAAATATATTAGAATAATAAAATAATAATAATAATAATAATAATAATAATAGTAATCAAATTAAACACATTTCCCAAAAATCATCCTTTACTCATATAATATAAATAAATATGAATATTGTATAATCTATTATAAATAAATTCGAATAAAAAATATTGTAAGACGTGAAATTTCTTCCTAACGCCTAATTGTGTTGCCAAAAATATATAAAAAAAACTTTGCCGATCTTTTTATTTGTTGAAAAAAAAATTATTGAATTAATCAAAAAAAGACTTATTGTATTGGAATCATAAAATAAAAAAATAAATAAAAAAAATTTATGAACAAAAAAAATTAACTTAATCAAAAGATAAAAAAAGCCTTACCATAAAAAAAAATAAACAAATAAGTTAATTGAAAAAAAAATAAACACAAATATAAATATAAATAAATAAAAAAATAATATAAATTGAATAAATTCTATTTTGAATAATTATGTTGGGTACAAAAATTACAAATTCTAATCAATACATTTAAATTTATATTTATTCCCATGTTGTAAAAGTTTTTTTTTCTTTTTTTATCGATTAAGTTGTATTCTTTCTGACATCATTTGTGTCGAAATACTAAAACTCCCACGTGAAAGCAGTAAAATAAGAATAATTTACCTTTTAAAGATTTATGGAATTTTACTCGTGCATTTGCATTTTTCCCTTTCAAATATGCATATTTTGCATAAATCATGTGTAAAGATCTTTTTCATACATAAGTCAACTCATAACGCCTACTAATAAAATACACGTGAACAAAATCACTTTAGGGTAACAAATAGCCGGCATGTAAGGTAATCAAACTTTATGGGTTATAGTTTTTGTTTCAAACACGAGGAATTTATTTTTCATATTTATTTATTTTTTTTTTTTTTGTCGCCAGAAATATCTAATTGAAACACCAATTACTCCTTTTTTTTATATCCTGGGTCTATTGGCATCCTTACACATCATTACGCATGAAACCGTGTGTGTTAATTCATAATATTAATTTGTGAATAGACTTCATGATTGCATGAAAATATATAAATTAAAAAATTCTCTCTTAAAACAATAAATAGATTGGCGTGATTCAACCTTAAAAAGATAGTCTAACTAAAACTTTCTTTCATGTATTTATTTTTTGCATTTGAATTAACGAACTTAATTTAAGGGGTAGAATCGGAGATATTGTACAACTATTGATCAATAATAATCCTTTTGTAGTGATAATATATAATTAGTCATGGCAATATTCTAAAAAAACGCCCAAAAAATAAAAAAAAAATATTAGTGATTACGCATTTATATTTTTATGAATCAGCTGATATCCGCTTTATCTGATTAATATAAATGAAATCCGATTAAAAAGTTGGCGGAAGTATCAAAGTTCGTGATTTATTTTTAATATTTTTATGTAATAAAAAATTTAGCCAAAATTTTATTGAAAAATGAATAATCTTTGTTTGTTTATTAAAACCTAAAAAGGAGAAGAAAGATCTCTTTACAATAAAAAGGTTTAAATAAAATAATTTTATTTTTTCTTCAAAATGCATAAATTCAGCGACATTGTTATCAGTTATTCGCCATGGAAATTCAACTCCTTCGCGACTTAAAAAAGTGATTATTATCATAAAAACTCATTAAAAAATAAAACAAAATAAAATTGACATTTCGTCTCTCTCCCTTTGACTTTTCTTTGGAAAGTAATGCCGCCAATTGGAGAACATCAACCTTCATCTTCTTCACAGCACCACCCAAATTCGCATTCTTCAGGCGAAGAAAATCATTCGCCAACAAAGTCGTTATTAGCTGATAAAGATCGTAGCATACGTTGTAATAGAAGTCCAAGCATAAACAAGAGAGCTTCGAGAGTAGGGGTGACAAATTTTATAAATGTGGTAAAAAGTTTACATCAAGGTGAATCAATAAATTACTTTCCTGTAACAAAGGAAACTTTACAGGAATATATCGATTCGAAAAGAAAGGCACTCATAAAATCCGGGTCGCTTGATCAATATTTACAGCATATTAAAGCGTATAACATTGCCCTTGGCTTTGGTTGGGATGGGCTTGTATTTGGTCCAATTATCAAAAAAGCTTTAGACGAATTAAGAAATTACGAAGATGAGACTTGTTCAAAGGTCGAAAATATCTTATTAATCTCTTCAAGTCAACCACAACAAACTACTTTAGTGAATTTTGGAATTTCGCAACAATCAAATCCTTTTTCAAATTATTTTAATTCTAATTTTTATTTAACATCTGTTGATGTTGGAATGGAAGATTTATTAACAGCCGACGAACGATATACTGATGAACCTCACGTGATTACAGCATTAAATTCTTTTGAAGTTCCATTTTTGTATCCTGGTGGAATAATTAATCCACAATCAATTTCAAGCAATCAGACGTCTCTCATTTCTTCGCCTGACTATTTAACTAATCATCAAGTAAATGTTTATTATGATAATAGAGGTACAATAGGCGTTAATGCGAATATCTTTTCTTTCGAACCTGTAGAAGGTGAGGATTGTATTCATGGTAATTGGAATAACTATAAGTAATGTGAATAAAATTTTAAATTTCTTTACGTATCTAATATCGTTAAAAAAATATTTCCTCAGCTTCGGTTATGAAAGAATCAAGCACTATGAAATCGCTTGAAGATAACACTAATAAGAAACCTTCTATTGCAAAAAAAGCTCGACTTAACTGGACTGAAAAAAGCATTAAGAAATTACTTCCATACTTAAAAAAACATAAAGAAGAACTAAAAAGACTTGTAAAAAAGCGTGGAGCTAGTGGAGATATTAAAAAAGACCTCTGGAAGTGCGCCGCAAATATGTTATCCGACGATCAAATCCAATATTTACCCGAGCAATGTGAATTCAAATGGAAAAATATCAAGCAAGCCTGTAAGGTACATATATAATTTTAATGCAAATCTTTTTAAAAGGTTGTTTGTAACTAAAGTTAACATTGCTATGACTTAGCTTAACCCTAGTTATCGGTATAAATTGGAAGTAGAAGACATACTTAAATGAACGTGCAGAATTTGATGAGTTGGAGCTATTTTTCATTTAAAAATAAATGGGAGGTTTGCTATTAAAATCGAGTTACAAACATTAAATCATATGATCCGCAACGTGATTTTAATAGCTTACCTCCCAAATGTTCTCCCGTTAATTATAAATAATAGAAGGCGTAAATTGAAGGGAAATATAATTAATATATAAATGAGAAAAACAAATTTTTTACGTTATATATATATGTATTATTCCGCTATATCTGTATTAAGAAATTGATTTAATATAGTCCGGTATATTGAGAGCTTATATTATCATACGCAGTACATTTCTCCAATTTTGAGTTAACAAATAATATCAATTAATAAATCATTTTACCAACCTTAAAATTATTGTCTAGCTTAAAGTGACAAAAGAACTAGGCCGAACATTTTTGTTTGTTTTTATTTTCGTTTATTATATTAAGTATCCAAATATTTTGAACAGAAAATCCATTAAATTCCTTTCAACTATAAACAGAGTTGTTTTGTTTATGTAAATAAATAATAAGTTTGAGTTACCATGATTACAAATATAATTGAAAGAGAAAAGAAATAACTAAAATTTACCTTTTTATATCACAAACTGGGTAATACAAAGAATAGACATTGGACATAAATGGGAATTTATAAAAGTGATAATCTTCTTTCAACAAATATTTTCAAACCGGTAATTTCAAGATTTTACTGTAGGTATACGTTTCATAGCATATTACTATTATTAACAATTCAATTGTTCAATTGTTAAAACTTACGCTATTTGAATATGAATTTATTTCCTTTGCAGTTCATTGTACTTTGTCGCTATCGCTATATAACTCATTTTACCGATATTTCGCTGTAGTCGGTTAAGAGATTTAATAATCTTTTTTGTTCAATTTCATTCCGAGTATTTAATCATTTATGTGTTCAAACTTGTTTCATTAATCAATAATTATACAAAAGTAACTTGAATACGACATTTCATTATCCATAAAACAATGTTGTGTAAAGTCACACTTGATTTTTTTCCGCTGTTAAAAATATAACATGTCCTGAACATATTAATAATATATTCCGCTTTATATAATTTTACAATTATTTGGCAACAATATATCCTTAAAATAAATATTAATTATTAAGAAGGATAGAGATTATTACTACCTTTTTAACTTCTTTCGAAATAAATGGTAAACAAATCATTTATTAATAGAAAAAGGTCCATAAAAGTACCTTGTATATTATACCTTGTTAGAATTTTCTCAAATAAAAACTAAAGAATTTATTCTTTGACTTTCAAGAAAATATAGAATTTTGCAAAAGAAAGTGCTGAAAAAATCAAATTACTTTTTTAGTTATAACTCATTTTTTTATTCTTCCAATAGTTTCCTCATTTCTATTGCAAAAATTATAATATATCTTTAGCTTTCCTTCTTCTTGCATTTCATTGATAAATTAATCTTTCTAGAACCCCGAGAAAATATATAAATAGGTAACAAGAAATCGGCACACATTTACTAATAGCTCTACAGGGCCGGCACTATGTAATGCAGGTGGAAATATCCATAAAAGGAAATGATCCACATAAATTTTGGCTTATTGTTACTTTTCATGTATTATTTGGGATCCTATCTTTTCTTATACTCTTATCCTCTTAAAACTAGCTCATTTAGAGAATTAATATAAATGATTCCAAATTCATTATTTAAAAAAGAATATAGTTTATAAAAAAAAATATTACCTTAATTTCATTAATTTAAATAATATAATATATATAAAGTTATTAATGGAAAATATAAATAAATAAGAATTTATAATAAAATAAAAGTCTTTGAAATATAAAGTATAATAGAATAGAAAACAATAATAATTTGTTTATATTATATAATATAATTAGGTTTAAATAAATATGTAAATGTTTGAAAATATTTTGAATGAAAAAAATTGCAACAAAAGGAATAAATTAAAATTAAGCTACTTAGATTTTTTGAATAAATAATTATTTAAAGATAAACAAATAATGGTTAATTTATGAAGAGTAAAAGAAAATCAAATTTATAAATCTAAAATAAAAAAAAAGTATATTATTACATATAAAAGTATATCAATAACTTATATTATATTATTAATTATTTGTTAATCATTAATATTAGAACTTTGAATAAATCAGATCAGGTCAGATAATTGACTTTATTTGATCTAAAGTACTAGTTAGATCAGATCATAGGTTAGGTCACAGATTATATTAAAAAAAATTGAAAAAACAGTTTTTTAAAATATCTTGATATCTAGTGATTGATAAATAATGTATTATAACTTATTGAATTTATTTCAATATGATGAATTAAAAGTAGTTATTTTGTTTTAAATAAATTAATATTAATAAAATTATACTTTATTTGTTTTTATATATTAATCTATAATATGAATTTTAAAATTTTTATATAGTAAACATAAAACAAGCTATAATAATTCAAAATTAATAAAATATAGCTTATTTAATTCATTTTTATTAGAAAAATTAAATGGTATTTATTTTATCTCAAACTAATTTTGATAGAAATATTAAATTTTCAATTTTTTAATTAAAAAATTCAGGTTAGATTAGGTCAGTTATCCTATCTAATCTGATTCAAATTATTCAGATTGATATATCATGTCAAATTCAAAGCTTTAATTAATACATTTACTATATTTCTCTAAAAATAAGCAACACAATTTTGTTATAATATTGCTTATTTTCGGGTATTTAAATTTTTTTAATGTACTGTATAGTTAAAAGTTTGATTTTTCATGTTAAAAATTAATATAACTCTAACATGATTACTGATTATTTAATATATATTACTTATATCACAAAATGATTTACAAACTTATTTTATGCTAGTTACTATATCAAGTACAACAAATAAAAATTGCCAATTGTTTTGTATATTTATATGACAAGTAAAGGTGTTAGAAAAACTGTTACAGGAAATCTTTGCTATATTAGATTGAGTGATGTATGCTTGTTGATAAAGTTTGCTTAGAAAGTAATTTATGATAAAACAATTATTGAATCTTTCAAGACTTGTAAAATTTTAACTAATTTAAACCAATTAATTTCTAAATTAGAAATTAACGATGATGATAGATAGTGATAATTATGGTAAAGATAACACTGGTAGTGATAATTATAGTAATAATAATAGTAGTTATGATAGTGATGATAGTGAAGTTAATGGTAGAAGTGATTAATATATTTAAATGTGTTAAAATTTTGTGATTAATATGTGTATTTTATGATAGTAATATAAGCAATATTTCATAAAAATTCATTAATAAAATATTTTTTTTTGATTTATTTGAGCTTTATTTTATTATTTAAAATGTTCTTATTATATTACATATAGTTTTAATGTGAACTAATTAAATATTTAATGTATTACTTATTTTCAGGTATTATTTATTTTAAGAGTTGCTTATTTTTGAAAGAATATATTATTTTGATTTTAATTTTGCTTAAAATTAAAAGATTTATATAGGAACTAAGCTATTAAAATCAGGTAATAATACTTTTGACTAAAATGAAATTTTTGATTTATATTATTATACTATAAAGTTTTATTTGGTTAAATTTTTATAGTTATTTATCTTATTATAAAATAAATAATTAAACTATCAAAATTTCTCTTTATTGTGTAATATCAATCAAAAAACTAAAATTAGATTTTTAGAAATGATCAAATAAAATTTGAAAATGATTATTTAAAAAATTTAAAAAATTTCAGACTTTTTTAAAATTAAAATTTTAATTTATTAATAAGTTGAATGGATATTTAAATAGAAAATTTAAAGATATTTATATTCTCTAATAAAAATATTTTATTGAAAAATACTCTATTTTTATTTTTAAAAAAAAAAATTATAAAAAAATAATTAAATTATTTTTTTTAAAAAATATTTTATTTTTTAATAATTTTTTTAATAAAAATATTTTATTTAAATTTCAAAATTATTTTTCTAATAAAATTAATATATCTAAAATAATAAAATTTTATATATTTTATAATAGCAAAAATTTTTAAATATTATAAAAAAATAATTTAATAGTAAATTTTAAATAATAAATTTTAGTATTATTTTATTAATTAATTTAACTCAATATTTAAAATTAAAATAATTTATTATTATTTAGAAATGTATATTATGATGTAGTATTTTTTTGATTATTATTATCTAAAAATAATTTCTTATTTCATAAAGTGATTTTAATAGTTTAACTCTTATATATATTATATAAAAAAAAAGTAATTTTATAAAATAAATTAAACAAATAATTTATTATACTATAAATTATTTAGTAAAATAATAATCAATATATATTTTCTTACTAAAAATCATTGGTTATAATAAAAAATTAGCATTTTTATAATAATTAATAAATTTCAAATCAGTTTTAATTAAAGCTTTATTTATATTATTAAAAATAATTATATTATCAGAATTCTTAAGTTATAAATATTTTTTAGATTTAGTATTAATATATTGTAATTTCTTTACTTTTAATTATAAATACAACTTTACTTAGCATACTTTTTACTAATTTTTTAAATAACTATTTTTAACTTTAACCACTTTTCTTTTAAAATTACAATAAGCTATTTTATTTTTAGTCAAAATTTATATTTATATATTTTTCTTCTAAGATGATCTTATAAATGCTTAATTGGATTATAATCTAAACTTTAATAGACTATAAAATAAAAGATATTAAATTATCTTTATTTTATTTAAAAATTAAATTTGATATATATAGAAGTACTGTATACTTCTAAAATTAAGCATCTATTTTATTATAAAGATGCTTAATTTTAGGTACTAATAAAATTGCTAAATTTTTAATTTCAGAAGCTATGCAAAAATGTTAAATACTTTATATTTATAATATATTTTATTTAGAGGTCATATAAAATAATCTGTTAAAAAAATTTTACAAAAGAATATAATTTAGTAATAGATTAATATTGCAATTAATAAACTATTTAAATAAAATTTATGAAAAGAATGATATAATAGTAGAACTTTAAATCAGATAATGTTAACCTGTTTACCTGATCTAATTTGATCTAAATATTTAAGTCAAATAAGTAGATTTTTAGATTAATATTAGATTATATTAATTGATTAATTTAAACTGAGCTGATTTAATAATATTTAAATTAATCAATTATTCTTCTTGAATAATTTATTATCATTCAATTAGAATAATTAGGTTATCATTCTTTTTAAATAATTTATTATTATTTAATTAAAATGATTTATTATAATTCATATTAAATAATTTCTTATCATTCTATTTTAATGATTTTTATTATTCAATTGAATGATTAATTATCTTTTATTTTAAATGATTTCTTATCATTTAATTTAAACAATTTCTTATCATTAAACAGACAAAAAAATTTCCTTTTTAGATCAGTTCAAATTAGATTAAATCAAATAAAATTTAATTCAGATCAGATTTTTATTTAATTTAATTTGATCTGTTTAGTCTAAGTAAATTATTTGACCTTATCTAAATAATCTGTTTAGAGTTTTAAGATAATAAAGAAGAATATTAAAGATAATAATATTAATAAAAAATAAATAATAAAAATAAATAAAGAAATAATTTAATAATTAAAAAAAGAATAAATAAAGAAGATTAATAATAAAGAAAAATAATAAAATATATAGAAAAAATAATAACAAACAATAGGAGAGAATTACAAAAAAGACTATTTTTAGATTATAAGAAGGATAATAATAAATAAAAAGAATATTATTAAAGTAAAAGAAGAAAGTAATTTTATAAATTAAAAATTTATTAAACAAGTACAGCTCTTATTGAAACTATTAAACTCATAAAATATTATAATATGGATTTTAATAATTATAATTTTATGATAAATTATAATTTATTAATAAACTTATTTAAAAATTTACAAATTTTATTTTAAAAAAGTAAATAAATCTAAATTATATTAATAAAAAAGTTAAATAATAATGCAATTTATATTTTTATGCAAAAAATAAATTGTTATTTATATTAAAGAAAATGAAATAATTAAAGTAACATATTCTTTTAAAATTGATAAAAATATGATTAATTTCTAGATTATGTAAAAAGTAAAATAATTAATCTAAAATAGCAAACTAGTTAAAATGTTTTATTCAGAAGTTAAAAAAATTATATGATTAAACTATTTACAGAAAAAATTTATAAGATCTTTAATTAAATTGAATGATAAAATTATAGATAATGAAAATGATATCATTAATGTTAATAATGATATTGATTGATATTAATATAAATTGTAATATTAAAGATATGGTGAATCTAATATCAATAAATAACTATAGTTATAATAATAATATAATATTTATAATAAAAAATAAATTTTATAATATATAAATAATAAAAATTAATGTTTTTTATTATTTTATTATTTTTATTATTAAAATTGATATATTATTTATTTTTAGATCTATATTAATTTAATAGTTATTTATATTTAAAGATAATCTAATTAAAAATAATACAGTAATATTTATATTTTAATCTATAATTGATGTTATATCTTATACTATAGAATCTCATTCCATCTCAAATCTCATATTATATTTAAAATCCTATATCTCATATCTCAAATTTCAAATTCCAATCCTAAATCATAAATCTTATTTAGTTTATAATATATTTTTAAGTATATTTTAATCAATATTTCACTTACAAAAATAAAATAATAATCATTTGAATCTGCTTATAAAGATGAAGCTAATAAACTAAATATCATTAAATTATTATTATTAATTATGATAATATTGTTTATTAAAGTTTTAGTTTAAGGAATAAGATTTTAAATGAAATGGAATTGGGATTTTATCTTATATTCATATAGTATGAGTAATAAGTATATTCTAATCAGAATAACTATTATTAAATAATAAATAAGCTTTTTGTATTTTTTATTTATTAATATTATAGCTTATTATATATTTATATAATTTTTATTTTATTTTTTTTATTTTTTTTTATTTTTTTTAAATTACTTTTTTAAATCTCAATATATGAATAATATGTATCAGTTTAATAAAAAATATATTTTTTAATCAATTTTAAATTATAAAATTTATATAATATAAATTAATGATAAGTTTTATTTTATTTAATTTAGTGACAATAAATATAATAAACTTTCAAAATAATGTTAAAAAACTAAAATTTATATAATATTTATTATTTAATAAGATAATATTATAAGTTAAAAGCTTAATATCTAATTGAATCAGCATTTAATTTAACTGTTAAATTTTCTTCTTTTTAACTGATATATAAAATTTATTTGATAAAATCAAAATTATTTAATTAGATAATAATATAAATCTATAATAAAATTTAATAGTAGAATCTATTCTCTCTATAGTAATACATTTGAGATAAGCTATAATAAATGATTATAAAGAGAAGTATAGAATTAAAATCAATTTTAATAAAATCAAATTAATCAAAAATTGAATCAAAATCAATTTTAATTGAGAATTGTATAAAAAATCAAATATATTTTAAAAATAAATAATATATATAATAAGAATGTAAAATTTTTTAATAAATATTTATGTCAAAATTTAAATAAATAAATTATCATAAATATTAAATTATAAAATTGTATAATTTGTATAATTATATCAGTTTTATCCAAGTAATATCTGGGATTTATCTAGCATAATGTGAATAGTTGTTGAAAACTTAATTTTTAAAGTTTTCTCAGAAAAAGTAAAACTATATCAAAGCTTATAATTACATCAAAACTTTATTTAAAATTAGCAAAACTAAAGTTTAAACGTTTCTCCAAATCCAAAAATGAGTTTAGATAAGCAATCTTATCTATAAGTAAAAAAAAATTTAAAATAAATAATTCAATTTATTGATTTTTTTTATAAATAATTTAACCTAACTCTAACCCTAACCTTAATCTTAATTTTAATGCTAAATTATCATGGTGTTTTTATAAACTTAATCTGATTCTAACTCTAATCCTAATTCGAATTCTAACATTGATGTAATTTATATATTATTATTTGATTTCAATTTTTAATGATAATTTTAAATTTTATTAATTGAATTTATAAATTTATTTATTAATTTTTATTTAAAAAGATGTAATTTGTTTATTTATTTTCAGTTTCTTAATTTTGTATTTTTTATTTTAATTTTCGGTTAATTTTTAATTTTAAATATTTCAATAATTTTTTATTTTCCAAATTACTAGTATTTTAAAAATTATAGGCCTATCTTTTGTTAAAAAAAAGTCAATTTATCTTTATGCTTTTAACGTTCAAAGACATTTTATTTATTTATTTTTTTTAGTTTAATTAAAACTATTCGCCATATAAAATCACGTGTCTGAGAGATGCACATAGCAAACCTGTATAATATAGTTTTTTTATAGTCTAAAGAATACACATCTAAACCTACATTAAAAAGAAATATACTATATATACGGTACATCCTTTCAACAGCGGTTAAGTTTAATTTAGAGGAATGAGTTTTCTATTCCTTTAAAAATTAATTGATACGCAAAATTTTTTAATTATTGCATAAATATTTCACGATGTCTGAAATCAATTTTTATTTTTACAATAAAGGAATAAATTTTCTCAATCGAAAGATTCAATTCATAGTCAAGCAATTACACTTTATTAACAAGAGACATGTTCCATTTTTTTTTAAAAGACCCTAGTATTAGTTATAGAGTAGCTGCTAAATCTGAACATATCGATTTTCTAAACAGTTTCCCCTTTATATAAAAAAGGGACCATATGAAAATAAATCGCATAAGAGTTTATTGCTTATGAATCAAGATATTATTATAATAAGGATATCATATGGGAGCTAAGATCTAAGCTGTTTAATGATTTTTAACTATTTAAAATTTTTCTATTAAAAAGTATTATTTTATACGGTATTATTCTTATAAGTTTATCCTATAATTAAACACTTAAAAATTCAATTTGTATCATAGTATGCACTACTTATTTCGTAACACGAGAAATTTTGAGGTAAGACAGAAAGTAGTGACTAGTAGTGCAACATACATAATAGTACTTATATTAGGATTAAGATTAGGATTAGGATTAAGATTAGATGTGGAGGTTAGAATTAGGGTTGGATTAGGGATTAGGGTTAGGATTAGGTTGGGATTATGTAAGGATTAGGATAAGGTTAGCTGTACTCCCGAAATTTTGCCACAAATTTCAAAAAATTTTATCATTTTCTAAAAAATAATAGAAAAAAAAAATCTATATATAAAAAAAAATTTATTCAAGGATCCTTTGCCCAAAATTTGGATGTACATTAAAATAATATTTTTACTTTAAATAAAATAAAAGTTCGGAGATGTCCGAAAATTTTTAATTTTTTTATTAAACGTCGATCATTTCCGAAATCTGTCGATAAGGTTGTCAATGAAAAATATACTTGCATATATTTTTTTTTTAATTTTGAAGATCTATAAAAATTGCTTTTTAATTAGAGATTTTGTAACCTCCGAATTATTTATACAATTTAGAACCGATAGCAAATAGTATCACAATACATTCATATACTGTATGCATGGTTGTTTATATCCTTTTTTTTTATATATATATATACCATATATAGATAAATTATGTCATAAAAAATTGTGTTTTATGCACATTGGCGAATATCCCGTTTCACTTTTCGTCAATCAACCGCGAAAAAAAAAGACGTGTTATGTAATTATTTAAATAACTTTGTACAATAAAAAAAAACCGGTTATCCGTTATATAAATGAAGGTTATGCGAAATCTTTGTTAACATCTCATCTCTATATAAAAAATCCATAGAAATATTGTAACTTTATGGCAGACCAAAAATAGTTAATCTGTCTTGAGGAATTGGAAACAAGCGCAGTTAGTAATACTTACTGTATTTCTTTCCCTGTTTTTTGTCAATCGTTGTAATATTATATATATATAAGCATGATTACAAACGACATTTGGAGATTTACTTTGAATTTTATGAGGAAAAATATTTTACGTTTTTTCTTAAAAATATTAAAAAGACATACGCAGAAAATATGTCATCAAATCAAAACCGACAATTTTTTACTTCAATAATTAATATGGATCGGTTACTTGGAACACAACATTCAAGAAGCGTTAATCAAAGAAGGAGAAGAAGGGTGAATCGACTTGGATTAAATACATATCAAATACGTAATGTTCTCACAAATAATCGAGACACGCTTGATCGTATCGTTAACCTTTCTACACAAACTTCAAGTGATCTATTGATTAATCAATTTTACAATGGGTCTTCGTTCATTTAAACTTTGAAAGGACATGAAAATAATTATAGCAACTTAAACTCTAAATTAAAATCATAATTATTAAATTTCCTTATACAAGTATCTTTTGAATCATAAGTTACTTAAATTTATAATTTATAACTTAACAAGTGGTGTTGTTGATTTTTTTTTTTTATTATATAACTTGAAAATGACGACATTTTTCAATAAATAAACAAAAAATTTAAGTACTTCTAAACTAAAAAACACGATTTATAATTTTTTTTTTTTTTAGTGCACGGTGTTAGTGCACTGTGTAAATTGTTTAATAAGTTTAAATTTTAAATTTTCAATCAATTCACGAAATGCGAAACGAAAATCATTGATAGTCATTAAATTATTAAGGATAATTTGACATACCAGAAATAAATTAACCTAATTTGGTAGATGATCATCATCATCCAACAAAAACCGGTAATTTCAAGTTCTTACATGTAGGTATACGTTAAGTTTGATATGCGTCAGGATATTTCATCAATGAATTTATTTCCTTTATCGGTAAATCACGAAAATCCCCAAAACTATTTTTGATGTTGAGAATTGATTCACAATCTGTTTATTTTTGTGTCATCATTTAACATGCTTTTACTTGTTTAAATACTTGTTCTTGTATCAAAAATAATTATACAAAGTTATATGGTTAGGTTCAAATAATCTTGTGTAAAACCAACTCGGAAGAAAGTGCTATATCTTTCCAATGTTAAAATAAAGTGGAGATGATCTATTTACTTGAAAGTTCAGTCCTGAATCAGTCCTGAAAACAAAACAAAACATTTCCTAATAACTTAAATAAATATGTATATATATTGTATTCCATTTATACATATATACCTATTACTTCTTTAATATAAAAAAGTATTTAACCTAATTAAGCAAAATCAATGATATCAGAAAACAGACCGTAAAGAATTTTCAGGATTGAAATAAAGAAGTTCTGCATTTGGTCCGATTCCTATTTTGGTTTGTGATACTAAAATTTTATGATTGGCTAAATTACTAAATATTTAAAGTGTTAAAGTTTAGAGTTTGGAGATGAAAATTTTCTTTGGTTTATTTATTTTATTGTAATAGCTGGTTTCGTCGTATTTTACTGAACGCAAAAAAGTTATCGAGATAAAATATGAGGCACATGATCGTGCATTTCCAAATTTTTCTGGTTGGAACTGCATTTTGCAGTTCCAATCAAAATTCAGTAAATATTTGACTAACCGGACTAATAATTGACAATAAAACAAAATAAAATGACAATATAGGGTTTTGTTTGTTTTTAATAAAGGTCAAGTAAATTATTTAAAAAATATCAAAATTTACAGTATTCCATCCATTTTGCGTAGGATTATCTCATTCACATAAATCAGGAATTTTAACTGAATAAACAATGTCAAATGAATCCATTATACTAACTTCCATGGGATATATATACTAGTTACTCATAATATATTCTAAATGCCATCTACTTTTCCATTATTTCCCCAGATTACTGCCAAATCTACGTTAAAACCTAAAGAATTTTAAAGCTGGATGTAATTTTATTCGCGGATTTAAACGCAGAGTCGGGAAATTTGCATGTACTGCATTACCTATTGTCATTATTTATTTTATATATATTAAATTGGGACGTTATTTCCCTGATTTTGTCTGACAATATCTTATTTAATTCATACGGAACTGAAAGATGTTCGCCCACCAGGGTGTGACACCGGGAACAAATTTTTGCAAGTTAAGTGGGGGTGAAATTTTTTTTGGGAATACTGGGGAAGATGGCACCAAATACTTATGAAGCTCTTCAGCATGGTGGCACAATTGATTCGCAAAAAATTCAGACTCCTTTCTCAACTATTTAACTAATTATAAAAATGATTAATTGTGTTACGATAGTTCTATGCAAATACCCTTTCCTTTGAGCCAGAAGATGCTTCCCCAGGTGGCGAAGATTGTGTACAGGGTAATTATTTCTAATAATAAACCTTTTATGAAAAAAGCTCGATTTAGTTGGACTGAACAAAGCATTAAGTTATTACTTTCGTTCTTAAAGAACATAAAGAAGTACTAAAATATTTCTGGAATTTGCGCCTCAATTATCTGGCCTAAGTAGTGTGAAAACAAATATTCAGCAGGCCTTCAAGGTAAAAATTTTTTCTTAATAAAAATCATTATTCGGTATAAGTTGCAAGTTGAAGGAATTCTTAACTGAACGTGCAAATTTACAATTATTCTTAGTTAAAATCGAAGGAAAATATAATTAGTATATAATTGGAAATGACGCGAAGAAAAAACATAAACGCACAAAAAATCTTTTTTTTTTTATAAAATCATTTTGGCGTAATTTTATCGATCATAACTTTTAGTGTAATGCATAAAAATCTATTATTAATAAAAAATATTTAAATTTCCCACAGTAAAATCAGGGTGTGATGGTTTTTTACGAAAAATAAGGTTATAACAATTAAAATTTTTGATAAAATTATGGGTTCTGTATACAAATAATATTTTGCCTTTTATGATGAGTTGGAAACTGATTTAGAGTATATATTTTTTTTAAGATCGTTCATCGGGCAAAGGCAGTTAAACAATAATTCAATCACAAATATTTTATGGTTTGCAAGTCACATGACCTTAATCCAATTGAACATCTATTGTAAACCACATACAAAGGAAATTGAACCAGAAATTTTAGAAAATTTAGTATAAAGTATGCCGAGAAGAGTTCAAGCTGTAATAGGTATCCAACTTATTATTAATGTTTTAATAAAAAAATTTATGTTTACAAATAAAAAAAATTTTATGTAAAATTACTTTTGACCGGGGAGTGTTCATATAGTCTATAACGATCTATTGGGTTAGATGATTTTGAATCGTTATCGATTTTATATATATATTTTTTTTATAATTCGGTTTAATCTTTAAGGTATATATAAGTTTTAAAAAATTGTGAAATTTCAGATCCATTTTTATTTCGTGGGTCCGATAATAAATCACGTGCCTTAATTTTATCGCTCAGTTTATGCTGAATTGGTTTTTGACATCTCTATATAAATGATTTCTTTTTTAATCGGTTACAATAAAATTTATGCACGAGAAATTTTGATTACAAAATGTAGGTCAAGTATTTTCTAAAAGTGACACCGACAAAGTTTTACCATTTTGCAGAAAACGCATACAATGCGTACTATATAATTATTGTAACCATTTAAAGGTCAATCGAACTGGCTAACTGTCAAATGAATTAACATATTCTTCATACTTACTTGTAATAGATTTATCAAATATTAATAAATTACGACTTAATAAGAAAATATTTCAAATTTTAATTTATATTAAAGGTTTGGTTATATATATAGCAATGGAACAAACATCTTTTTCATTATACTTGTAATAGATTTATTAGATAATGATTCCGACCTTGTGATTACCACAAATGAATTTTCAGCCAAAACGCTAGAGTATTTTCAAACGTGGTGAAAGTTATTCCGGGATAACTATAAACTGAGGTGATTTTTCACAAAATATTCTATATTTATATTTAATAAGAAAATATTTCAAATTTTTAATTTAAATTGAAGGTTTGATTGTAGTTATTAAACATGCATGAAACATACTAGTGATAAAAGTAAAAGAACCGAGTTTGTTATTTTTATCTATGTATTAAAAATATATATGCAACTAAAAAGTTGAAAAGAATAAATTACGAGTTATTATTCATACCAAATAAGGATTGAAAGGTTGGCTGCATAAATAAAAAATTTTTACAATAATTCATATTTATTGTTTTTCACGGCAATTTGCGACCCCTATCATCTTAAAAGATTCTTATCATAACACTCATTAAAAAATAAATAAATATAATAAACGTGAAATTTCGTCTCTCTTCCCTTCACTTTCTTTGGAAAGTATGCCGTCAATTAGAGAACATCAACCTTCTCATTCGCATTCTTCAGGCGATCATTCGCCAACAAAGAGTGATAAGTCGTTATTAGCTGATAAAGACCGTAACATACGTGGTAAAAGTAGTCCAAGCATTATCACGAGAGTTCCGAGAGTAGGCGTGACAAATTTTATAAATGTGATAAAAAGTTTACATCAAGATGAATCAATAAATTACTTTCCTGTAACAAAGGAAACTTTACAGGAATATATCGATTCGGAAAGAAAGGACCTCATAAAAGCCGGGTCGCTTGATCAATATTTACAACATATTCAAGCTTATAATAACATTGCCCTTGGCTTTGGTTGGGACGAACAAGTATTTTGTCCAATCATCAAAAAAGCTTTAGACGAATTAAGAAATTATGAAGATGAGACTTCTTCAATGATCGAAAGTATCTCAAGCCAACCACAACCTACTTTAGTAAATTCTGCAATTTCGCAACAATCGAATAATTTTTCAAATTATTTGATTCCTAATTTTTATTCAATACCAGATGATGTTGAAATGGAAGATTTATTTACAATTGATAAAGGTGATACAATAAACGGTAACTTCGAATTACTGATGAATATCACGTGACGAAGGCATTAAATACATTTGAAGCTTCATTTTTGAATCATCTTTGTGGTATAATTAATCCACAACCAATTTCAAGTTATCAGACGCCTCTCATTTCTTTGCCTGTCTATTTGATTAATCATCAAGAAATTGTTTATTATGATAATAGAGGTAATACCTTTTCTTTTGAGCCTATAGAAGGCCTTCAAGTGGCGAGGATTGTGTTCATGGTAATTGGATTAACTAAACTATAAGTAGAGTCAATCAAATTTAATAAAATTTTTTACTATCCAAAATATTTCCTTAGCTTCGATTATGGAAGAATCAAGCACTATGAAATCGTTTGAAGATAACACTAATTAGAAACCTTTTAATGCAAAAAAAAGCTCGATTTAACTGGAATGAAAAAAGTATCAAGTTATTACTTTCGTTCTTAAAAGAAAATAAAGAAGTACTAAAAATTCTTGTAGAAAAGCGCGGAGGTAGCGGAAATATTAAAAGAAGTGCGCCGCAAAGATAGTATACGACGATCAAAACCAATATTTTCCCGAGCAGTGTGAATTAAAATGGAAAAATATCAAGCAAGACTGCAAGGTACTTATATAATTTTAATTCAAATCTTTCTAAAAAGGTTGTTTGTTGCTAAAGTTAACATTGCTATGACTTAGCTTAAACTTAGTTATCGGTATAAGTTAAAAGTGAAGGAATTCTTAATGTTTCTCCTTAATTATAAATAATTTATGGTTAAATCAAATAATGATTTTTTCATGAAAGAATTTTTTTTTTTTTGTAAAATCAACATTGTCTTACAAACAAGATATATTTTTTAAAAAGTAAATGCAAAACAATACGATGGCTCAGCTATACCATTTATTAATATTTCGTTTCTTTAATTTTTTTTTTTTTTTTAAATCAGTTAACGTAAGATTATAAAAATTTTAATTACTGTAGTAACGAATGAATCGCTTAGTTATTAGATGTAATAAGTCATATTAATAAACACAAATCACAAATCCCTTATAAGGGTCTTTTCAACAAGAAGCTTGACGTTGGTTAAGCAAGGAAAACTATTTGTGAAGGCATATACAGAAGTGTGCAAAAAAAAAAATGAACTTCATTAAAATCTCGTTAGTTCCACAAGTATTGCGTCAATTAAATTTACAATGCGTCATTTTAAAGCTAAAACGAGTATATTTTATTAAAAAAACGCCATTTTCTCAATAACCTTCCTACAACGCTGAAAAAAGGTTTTCTTGATATCATTATCTTGCTGGAGTCGCCATCTACCTCTGCGCACTTCCGTAATTGTTTTTTTAATTGTATTCTCCATTCATTATACGCCTAAAACAAAAAGACTGGCGGTACCCTTTACACAAAAACCGCCCCATGCGAATATTTTACTTCGGTCCTTTGGCATTGGACGAATTGGCCTTACATTTATACCAATGCTTATCGTGTTAAGGAATGGAAAGATGGTTCATTACTAAATAGGGTTTTTTCATTTATCATCCTTGCGTTTCTTGGTTCATTCAACTTGTTTTTGCTTATGGACTGGGGTTAACATTGGTGTACAAAGGGGAAGTGCATTTCAGTATCCACAGTCAGCCAAATGCCTTGGAACAGTTGAGCGGAAGAAATCTATTTCTATATCTTTCAATTTATCAGCAACAGACCCAGCAGAAATTGAAGGTTACCTTCGAATGTATTATCCAATCACCCGGATGCATTTGTCGTTATTTTTTTAATACGTCCGTTACCATCTTTATGCTTTACATCTCCAGTATTTTAAGGTTTCGACAGATAGTACTAATTGGAATCTTTGTCAAACTTTGTATTTTAGCATTTCGTATTCCTTGCTTCTAGAAATGTAATATTAATCTTTCGTTATGTTTCTTGCCTTGATGAAGTCATTTTGATATTCGATAAGTATAATTTTTGTTAAATTGCGGGAAAGGTTTTGCTGAAAGGCGATAGAGTGATCGTCAGGCTCTCATTTGCATATTTATTTGTGTTACGCTTGTTGAAAAAAAAGTTCATTTTTTTTTTGCACACCACTGAACTTATCTTTATAATAAATATTTCTTCAAAATAAAAACATTTCTAGCGTCGACATACGTATGGTATACTATATAACACAAAGTAATTCATATATGATATCTCATCAGAAAATTTTTGATCATTCTTTATTTGTTTTTGTCATTTTGGGAGGAACTAAAATCAAAGTTGTTATAAAAAATCGTGCAGTAGTTATAAAGTCGTCGTTTTAATAAATTTAATTTGCTAAATTTTATTAACTTATAAATGATTCAAGAAAGCAAAAATTTTATTTGACTTGACATTATACAACAAGTGAAAATAGTTTTTATCGGTCTCAAAGGCCCGCAGGTGGTTGTTGGTTTAATATTTATATATATGGGACCTTTGCAATAGAAAGAGGGGAAACTGCTGGACAAAATCAATTTTACTTTGATATGCCAAATACGATTTTCATGCTGATATGATTTGACATTAACTCATTTTATATTTTTCCCGGAGGTTTTCCCATATAATGTATGTACAGTATACCACCTCCATCCATCAGAACCATGAGTTGTGTAAGAAGTATTGGATGAGACTGAATGGCTAATTATGGTGGTTAACCATACCCTTTAAGGGTATCGGACATCCGTTTCGCCGAAACCCACTTCGCCGAAGCTAATTTACCAAAAGGACTCTTCGCCGAACGACCACTTCGCCGAATGGACTTTTCACCGAAAGACGTTTTCGTCGAAATACCATTTCGACGAAAGGACACTTCGCCGAATCCTTTTTGCCGAACGGACACATCGCCGAATCCGTTTCACCGAAAGGACATTTCGCCGAAAGTGGCTACTGCGTAACATTTGTATAACTTATCATTTTTAGGTTCTACATTAAAAAGTAAGTTTTTCTTAAAAATTTCGTTGGAAATAATAAAAAAAGTTCAATAAATCTGGCAAATTGCTAACAACCAACAGCGAATTATTTTCGTTTTCGGCGAAATGTCCTTTGGTGAATTGGCTCCGGCAAATGGGGTTTCGGCGGCAAGGGTTTCGGCGAAACGTACCGTAATCACTTTTGAGACCATTTCACGACTTGTTCATTCCATAGGGTCTTATATCTTGGTTGTTTGTAGTTAACGGTTGAATGATATTACTCGTCTTGGTGAAGATCGACTACAACATCAAATATGATCTAAGACTTGCAGCTGGGTGTGGAAATTGAAGGATCGTGCATAACTGCTAGAATTAATGGATGAGATGAAAATGACACTTTCTTCAGGCATTGACTTGATTCTTTCTAGAAATAGTATTGAATCCATCCGAATGATTAGAATATTATATATTAATAAAAAATTATATTTCATTTTTTATATTAAATTCGCGGCATTCGAGTTATAACTTTATATAGGTAAAAAGTTTACAATAGTATTTCAGTTATAATTTTTGGAAAGAGTGTAAAAAAATTTATGCTTTAAACGTAAATAGCTTTTTGATCTTTATATATGTCGATGATAAATTTTAAATGTAACAAGTATCCTAGTCAGATTTTGGGGTCTTTGGAATAAGAGAGAAAATAAAATTTTTTTAAAAATGACACGAGTTGGATTACAAGAATCTAAATTTAAGAAAAAACAAATGAATAAACACAAATTCTCTCAATATGGCTTACATGGTGTTACGCATTGTTTATTTATAAGTCTTTTATCATCCTTATCATTGTTGCATTCAAAAATAATATTGTGCCACCATGATTTTTGAATAATAATAAATAATACACTCGTGTAACGTATCGAATTCTTTGACAAAACTTTATTTACATACAGTATATCAAATACCGATAGTCCTTCATTGAATTAATTTGATCGTTGTAAGTAAATATTGGATAAATAAATAATTTATTTTTATTAGAATTATTTGGAACTTTACACGGCGTTTATGTACACTAGTCATACCTTGGGATTAGGGTTTTTGGGTTAGCTATTAATTACCATGAGTCGCGCCAACTGCTTTTCGCTTTTACTAAGTAAACTGGAGACATTCATACGCACCGTGTAAATTCCCTCACTTTTTTGTTTTAATATAAATATATACATACACAAATATACAAACAAATATTGATGAATCTAAAATATGGAGAAAACATTAATTTCATAATAAAAAATGATACAATGTAAATGCGATATTTAATACAATGCATTTTATAATGTAATAATTTAACGATGTAATGCTAAGTTATGAAAAACGAAATCTTTTCAAAGAAGTCATCTATTTGAACCCATTGAAAAAATCATGTATCAGTCGATCATTTATCGTTAAAGTTTGTACAGGAATTCTTGAGATTCGATCCAGCGTATCGTTATTGGTTTTCTGATGCAAACTTTGATTTTCAGGTTGACATGTATTTCCATCGTTACCAGTAATAGCGTTAAAGTATCCGTTTTGATTCGAAGTCGTTGTCATATTGTTTTTATTATGTCTTAGCATTATTGTTAAGGATTTTTATGTTATTTAAAAAGAAAAAAAAGATGAAATCCTTATAACATAAAAAAACAAAAAGTACTTTTTTCAACCTATTTAAATGTAATAGCAATCTTTGATTTTGTTAAGTAATCTCAGAATCTAATTCCTAACGACGATTAATTCACAAAGAAGGTTTAGATACTGCGATGAGGATTATTCTGATTATCGATCGCATCAAAAAATGAAAGCATTTAATGATACCAAATTTTGTCATTTAGATTAACATTCCAATTAACAAATTAATAAATGTGTTTGGCCGATGCATTCGAAAACAATGTGTAAACCAGTATCTTACCTGTTACAAATCCTTTGACCCACTACATGACGTAACATCAGAAAATTTTTATTTCAATGTGGACACCAAATATTATTAATAGTTTGGATCTTGTACCCGCAATCTCTCATTCAAAAATTCAAACACAATAATAAGAAAAAAATAAAAATAAAAATAAATTTAGAATTTGATTGACTTTTTAACACAATAAAATATGATAAATTTTCAAATGAAAGTATTTATATTTGTACCACGTCAAACCAACCATATGTATTAAAAAAAAGTTTTTTTCTTTCATAAATCACTCATAAATCATATAGCTGGTTATTTAGAGGCACAAATGGAAATTATGTCCAATTAATACATTTTTATAAAAATATTCTCACCTGTTGATCTTTCCTTGTTCCAATAAAGCATTACTTGCCGAAGTTGAAATCAATGATTCGTTCGCGGATCAATTGTAGAATGAGTATTGATTTGTATCCAAAAGCGATAGTCTATATAAACTTCCTTTTTAGTTTT